ATAGTTTTTTTATATGTTGCACACCGGGTGAAAAGTCAGTCGTGTAACATCGACGGTCGCTCCTGTAGTATTAGTTCATGTTTTATATGTAAACCCACTTTTGTCTTCATGGTTCAATAGTTATAGAATAAAGTTTCGAATCAATAAAGCAAAAAGAGATTCAAATATAAACGTGAACTAATATACGGATTTGTTTTTGTCTGAATTAGCCCGATCAGAAATGTCGGAGGGTGACTCCATTTATAAATTTATAAAATTTTAAATAAAGAAATTTTTATTAAATTTGATTAGATATTTGTCAAGATATTTGAGTTTAAAATTTTTTAAAAAAGGGTGTTTATTTATAATAGTATAGAATATATACAGTATATATATATATATATAGTATAATTTAAATTAAAAAAATAGTAATTCTATTATATAATCTAAATTGTTACTGTAATTATAATAGTACTTTTAGCTTTAATTTAATTATATAATTTTGGGTACTTTTTTTAACTAAATAATATTAATATTTTAATAAAATAGCCAAACTTTGAAACTACTATATACATCATTAGTTTAAACACGGATTGTTTTTTAAAAACAATACAAAATATTGTACATTTTATAAATTTTTAAAAAAGTAGTAGTATTTTTGTAAAGGCATTTTTTATGATTTAAAGCTGCAGGCACCATAACAGTAGGGTTTCGCACAGGCTAGGCTGGGCTAGATATTTCGAAGTTCAGATTCAGGCTAACAAAATATCGATATCAATTATTTAGATTGGATAGAGCCAAGCCCAGCCAAGAATCACGTAACCCAAACTTAATAGTTTCGTAATTTGCCGAATCACAACTGCTTAAACTAATTTGGAATTTGCTATGATATCATTTATATTTTTAAATCATTATCATAAAAAATGAACGATATAAAAATTCCAATTCCAAATCTCGAACAAAAAAATGCAGTAATAGGTCAATTGGTGCTGAAAAGGAAAATTCAGATTTATAATTTTTACGTCAATGATAAGGATGATAATTTTGGCCAATCAGCTTAAAATCTGGACTATCCAAGAGTTTTTGGATCTGGACACGAATATTTTGAGCCCAATCCAAATCCGAATTTTTGAGACCAGGTGATCCATGGCAACTATTATATAATAATTATATATTATATAATTATATAACAAATGTTTTTTATTAAACATACGTATAAATTTTTTACTCTATTTATACTTATACGTATATACCGTATATAACTGATAAGTAAATTCTAGCCAGGCATAAATTAGAAAAAAACTACATCTACAGTAATTAATTGATATTTATAATTATCGTTATCGTTATATAATATAATAATGTAGTCACAAGTTCGTAATAAGTCATGAGGAATTGTGTATTACAATAATAGATTCATTTAGAACAATGCGTACTCGTATTATATCAAATATCAAGTTATGAGAAATATCTCGTACGTATGTACGCACGCACGAAATGTCAAAATGACATTTTTCAAATTCAAAATTTCTGGATAAGTTATTGTCGTGCAAAGTATCTTGTGTAAATTTTCCTAACACAGTTTTGCCGCAAGTAAAATAGATCCCGAAAAAAGGGGGTTTTGCAGGTTGCATGCAGGTTGACTTTTCCAAAAGTAGAAATTAGTAATCATTTTTAGCATAATAACGGTGATACAGTATATGATAAAAAGATTTATTTTTTGATTGTGCCAAGAATTATTACAAAGAATTTATAAATAGCCCCTATATGTATATACTTTACTTGAATACGTAAAACGTATTTTTGTTATACAATGCAACACTAAAACGAGACTTCATTGATAACCCCAGATAAAAGGGTTTTACTTGCGCCGTAAACAAAAAAAAAATAAATAGTCCATAAAAAGTTCTTCATAAGAAATAAATTTCTTTTACAAATCCGATTGTTTTTGTAAAATATCGGTTAACAAGAAGAAAATATGTCGCAAGGTTATTATCCACCTCAAAACCAACAGTATTATCCTCCTCCTCCACCTCAAGGATATGCACCACCACCACCACCACAACAACAGGGTACATTTCTTGTCTTTTAAAGGATTTCATTCAAATAATTCAAATATTGTATAAAATTGATTTTCTTATTTTCTTACAAATTGAATTTTTTTTTTTTTTTATTATAATTATTATTTATAGGTTATTATCAACCCACTGTAAGTTTTTAAAGCATTTATTTTACATAATTGGCTTATGCATTTATCGTTATTAATTAAATAAACGCCGATAATTAAAATTTATTTTCTTTTTCTTCTTTAGCCACCACCTCAAGTTGTTGTACAACAACAACCGCCACAAAAAAAGAATGATAATGAAGGATTATGTTTAGGATGGTTAGTTAATAATCATAATTACAACAATTTTTTGAACATTTTATATTTTTATTTATCATCATTAATCACTAACAACGATTTAATTTAATGTAGTGCTCTCGGTGCATGTTTATGCTGTTGCTTTGAAGAATGTTGTTAACATTACATCTCAACCCAAAAAATTCGAATTTCTCATAAAAACAGTGATATCTGATATCTTCAATTCGTAATGTAATTTTTTTAGCACACGAATTTATAACACGAAATTATAAGAAGTTATATATGTGTAGATATATAAAACCTGGAGTTCTTTGTGTATCTTTGTAGCATCATGTGAATATATATATATATGCTTATTAATAATTGTTAGATTCTGTAATTTGTTTCAAATAAAATCAATATTGGATATTTTATCATATTTGAAGTCGACTCTTTTCTCACTTTCCCCCCTTTGTTAAATGATACAATCGAATTGCTTTTCTCATTTTAGTACTCAATGAAATCTAAATATGTTTTAGTTTGAAAACAAGATCGTAACGTTGCAAATGCAGTACAAAAATACAAAAATAATTAAAGTTTTACATGCGTGTACAGTACGTATACGTCGTACATAACACAATGTGGAATCTTTGTGATACTTATTTAGAAATATGCACTAATTAGAAATAAAAAATGAATCGATAATAAGATTGTCTTGAATTTTCGCCTGCTAGTAAAAAAGGTTAATGATTTTTCTCGGTCTTCTCGGATTCTTTATTAACTAAATGCAAATAGCTAGACTGCCTATTATAAAACATAAAGTGTGTACGTAGAGTTTCAATCCGGATAAATCCGTCATCCGTATAATTATCCAGATATCGATAGTAGATGGATATCCGGATAAATGCTTAATGGATTTGAACTCTGTGTACTTCTGTATTTCCTTTCACGAATAACCGCTCAGAGTGTACTAAACTCGGGGATTAACATTTGGCGAAATGAAATAGACCCTAGGTCTGTATAAACAAATTTACGATACTATTAATTTTACTAATAGCAACTGTTTGTATTTTTATTACGTAATTTTCATTATCATTTATTTCTAGAATGTTTTTAATTCCATTTAACAATGCCTTTATAATACAGCGATCATATCCAATTTTAATTTTAATACTACGTATTCTTTGAGGAAAATCGAATTAGCCTTAATATTTACTATTTTTGTTATTGACCGTGATTTACAGTGGTGAGCAATAGTACTAGGCAAACGCCATTTTTTTATCTGTAGATTTTTTTTTTTCTATCCGCATCATGTATATACGTACTTACGTACAGTACGTACGTTTTAAAAATGCTTTCCAATGTTAATAATGTTAATATATGGACAAATTTAAAATTGGTGAAACTGTATATCAACAATTATGTGAAACATAATAAACTTCATTTCGGTTGCAGCTATTATAGGTTATATAATTGGTATTTTTTTTATCGAAACACTTAAAAAAAAAAAAAAGCTTCTACAAAATGCGATTTTCAAGAAGTAATCCTCACTCCGCACTTCCTTTATACAAAGAACATTCAAAATCTACTTCAACTTTTAGAAGTTCGAAGCAATTATTGATTATCGGCCTTTTTTATATTATTTTAATTCTGTTTATTATCAATCTTTTTAATTTTTTACTTTTTCATAAACCCGAATCTTCGTCTATTACAAATCTTGATTATTCTTTCATACTTCCTAACCCATCTCACTCAGATCTCAAAGATTTAATAATAGTTGCTGGACATGCCATATATTTAAGTAATAGATTAGATGAAGTGGAGCAAGATGACAACTGGATTTTGGAGAGTTTCCAAAAAGGTGGACATGTGAAAACTTTTTTGAATCATATAAGAAAAGGTTTGGAATTAGCTCAACAAAATACAAAGGCATTATTAGTATTTAGTGGGTATGTTTTATTTTGGATTTTTCTATTATTGTAAATACATAATAGATTTTAATAGATTATGATTAACTCTACTATAATAATTAAAGTGGTCAAACTCGACCCGCTGCTGGGCCAATGAGTGAAGCACAAAGCTATTATGTATGTTGATTTAAACTTATGTTTTTTTCTATTTTATGTTATTTATTTTATTTTATTTTATTTTATTTTAATGTTTATACTTGTTAATTAGTTGCAAAATTAAATTTTCTTCAGGCAATTGCTCAAAAACTTGATTTATTTTCTGCCGAAAAAGATTCTCATTTAGTTATTGATCGTATGACAACTGAAGAATATGCACGAGATTCTTATGAAAATTTATTATTCTCAATTTGTCGTTTTACGGAAGTAACTGGGCATCATCCACAAAGCATAACGGTCATAGGGTTTGAATTTAAGCGAAAAAGATTTTTAGATTTACATAGAGCTGCAATTAAATTTCCATTAGACAGGTATTAAATTACTTGCATATGATACAATTTCTGTTTTATTGTTATTTTTTGTTCTAATATAAAGAAAACATTTCAAGGTTTACCTATATAGGAATTGATTCAGTGAACGTGAAGTCAAATAAAATTGGAGTAGGCTGATCATTAAAATATTTATTTTAATTTTATTTTAATTTTATTTTAATTCTCTTTATATATTATCACTACAGATAGATAACGCATTAGAGCCTTTTAAACAAGATATTTATGCTTGCCATGATGGCATACTCCGAAATAAAAAACTTGCAAGAAATCCGTTTAGAAGGAGGTGTGATATTTATTTTTAAATATTTTATTTTATTTATTATTATTATTATTACAATACGTTAACATCTTTTCTTTGACAGACATCCTTATCATTTAAGTTGTCCCGCTCTTAGTGACTTGATAAATTACTGCCCTCGAGATCCAACATTAATATATCCAAATAAACTACCTTGGGAATCTTCATAAATCACCAAAAAGAACACTTCTTAGACAATAATCTCAATTATTATAGATACTTTAACACATTATATTTAATACATTTAGAGTGTTTGTATTAATAATTTCACTACGAATTTAATTTAAAACATTGAAAAATTATTTTATCTCTATATAAAACCATACAAAAAAATTTTTTTGGGTTTACATAATCCGGCCAAGGTCCAAAAATTGAAAAAATCATAATTTTTTTTTATTTTATTTTAATTAGCCCATTCAGATAAAACAAAGTTTATCTGTACTTTTCAAATCATTTCAATTGCGCTATTTAGTCTGTTAGAGTCTGTAAGAGTCTGTAAGAGTCTGTAAGTAAAAAATGAATTATTAATTTAATGGGTGAGTATAAAAATAATTTATCCGGCAGCTTATTATGATTGTGCTGCCAAAATAACTCGAGTTATTTGGCAGTGATACGTCATCTGCCAAATA